CGGCCCCGCCCCTCCGCCCGCGGCGGCTCCTCCCCTGGCCACCGTGCCCGGCCCCTTCGCCGCGGCTGCTGTCACACAAAGAGCCGGAAATGGCTGCGGCGAGGGGCTCCCCGCGCACCCCTAACCTGCAACCTCCTGCTCCCAGTGCCGCGCTGGACTCATACCTTCCTGTTTCAGAGCGTTCAGCTTCCCGACTCTGGAGGTGGAGAAGGAGGGACGACTTCTCTGCTGCTGCCTCCATCACCAGCAACACCTGCCACCCCAGAAGGAAGGAAGCGTCGGCTCCATTCGCAACTCCCCAGTGTCAAATTATTTTCAAGTAGTCATTTCTCCACCACATCTTTATCGACTGCTTGTTTTGTTCCAAGCATCTTGTCCAGAGCCAGATGTGCACTGGTGTACAATAGAGCTCCTTGCCCGCTTGGAGATTTTTCCTCTGCCAGCGTTAACTGACCTAGCAGAGGCCCAATGACAGCTGGGAAAGCCAGCTAAAGAAGGGAGCAGGCTGAGCTAGGGTTGAGCCCTCCCACTGACTGAGCTTGCTCCTTAGTGCTCCCTCCACCTGAGGTCAAGAATAATTTCTCCTAGGACCCGAGGCTCAGAGAGAAAAGGCGCTTGCTGCTAAGCCTGTTAACCTTAGTTTGATCCCCAAGAGTACCAGGATAGAAGGAGAGAGACAACTCCTGTAAATTGTTCAATGACTTCCACCCACATGCACACACACACACACACACACACACACACACACACACACACGTGCGCACAATCAATAAATGTAATAATTTAAAAAGAAAGAGACACCTCCTACTTTTCCATTTCTTAGAGTAGAATTCTGCAGCTATCATATATTTTTTAAGTAGGGGCCCATGTCAACCTCCTTCAGGAAGAATTGCCTTGTGGACAAAATCGTGATATGAGGACTTTGAGGCAAACCTAGGAAGAATCTGAGGGACAGGCACCTTTTATTTTTTTTTTCCTTAGATGCTGCCCAGGGTTCTTCAAGGAATCTGAACTCTTTGCGATGCAGCCTGGAGGCCTTTAGATAGGAATGAGGCAGGTTGCATTCAGTCCTGACCTGTAGACATGCCAGCAGGGTGCTGCTCTGCTTGGGAGATGCTGTTATACCTGCAATGAAGAGAATGGTGGTTGACATGGGTACCTCTTAGGGAAACTAATTGGGAAGTACTTGTGACACTGGAGTATGTCTGTAGAAATAAGAAATGAAGTCTTGGGTCAAAGGAACCTTCTGCAATGCTTGTTAGAGTTCACAAATTTGGACTTACCCAGTTGTTCCCTATAAATGGCTATTGATGGAGAAACCGCTTTATGCAAGTCTCAGGAAAGTACTTGAGAAGACTTTGTTGATCTCACATGCTTTCCCAAATGCTCAGAATTCATGATCCTTTGTGGTTTGATGTTACACCACTCATCTAATTTAAATTGCTATTTCAGAAGTGATGACTTACATATATAGAGACACATACTTTTTTTTCCTCTCTGATGCCATGTGAGAAAGCTGTGGGGGTGTTTGTGGAGGATGGCTTTAAAAACAGAACTCAGGTTTCTTTTTTATTATTATTCATTTTCACCAGGATCCTCTGCTTGTTCATAGAAGAGAAGCAGCATGGACTTTTACAGTACTGAATCAGAAAGCCAGAGGCTTGCCTTTTTGTTTGAGTTTTGCAACCAACTGAAGAGTGGTCTTGGGCAAGTTTTGCCCCCTCACCCCTCTTTCCCCATCTATAAATTTAACTAGCTCAGCTACACTTCAAAATCCCTCTGCATGTAGAGAATTACATGAGTTAAAACAGAGGGCATTTCCTTCTCAGAGTGAGGGTGCATCCTTGGTGCCACATTGCCCTTGGGTTGGAGCCCTAACTCTGTAGCAGCCTAGTAGGGACCTCATGATCTATGATCTATAAGGATTCTTCCCATGTGAACGAATTTGCTCTGACTCAGAGAAAAGGAACCCCCTTTAGTTCCCCAAATTTGATGTGTTCTGTCTTCAGTCTGACCCTTGCACAAGCTAAGCTTCTTGCTCGGAAGGTTCGGTTCTCCGGTTCCGTCCCTCTTCTACACTTTCTCCTAGGTCCTCTGCTTGACTTTTGCTTATCCTTTTGGTGTTTCCTTAGCTGTGACTTCTCGCAAGCTGCTTCCTTGGCTGGCTTAGGTATGGAGTCACTGTTCATGCTTCTGTCTCTCCCGAGTTATCCTTCCAGTATTCCGTTTACTGTGTCAGAGCTGTGTCTACATTTGCCTGTATCCTTCCGTTAGCTTCATCTGAGAGACCGAGGATGTCTCTGTCTTGCCTCTGGAAGTATCCTCAGAGCCTGGGACTGAGTCTGGAAAATAACACGAGTTCAGAAAAAAAAAATGGGTTGAATAAACATCTCAAGGTGAACCCTGAAACTTTGCCGTTAATTAAAATTTGTAGCTCTCTGTCTGCTCCTCTCAGATTTCCTTCATATCTCAGTTCAGTCAGTAGCACCAGCAGTGAGAAGCCTGGGGCTATTGGGTGAGAACTGCACTGCGGTCTGCGAAGCCACAGCTTATGTATTAGGGTTCCATGCATGGTAACCGCGCTTGCTTACAGAAAAGTGTCACATCACTGAGGCTATGGAGTCTCCATGGAAAAACCATCACCAGACACTGCTTCACGGCCACCAGTGGTGGAGGAACTCGGATGGGAAGACATGGCATAGTAACTATTACCCAGTGCATCGCCTCATTTAACCATCACAATTACTAGGCGAATACCACCATGTGTCTCACTCTATAAATGAAGCAGAGGCCAGTAAAGGAGCTTGCCCAAGGTAATGAAACCAAACCTATGCTGTCTGCCACAATGGCACACTTCACTTCCTGTTCCCAGAGAAAATCCTCTATACAGTTATTCCAAAAACATGCTTTAAAAAAAAAGTTTATTTATTATGTACACAGTGTTCTGCCTGCATGCCAGAAGATGGTACCAGATCTCATGTGGTTGCTGGGAATTAAACTCAGGACCTCTGGAAGGTCAGCCAGTGTTCTTAACCTCTGAGCCATCTCTTCACCGCCCCCCCATACACAAAACCATTCTTAATGTACATTGTTGGTCTACAGTATATTAAAGCTAAAGTATAACAGAGCTGATGAGATGGTTTAGTGGGTGAAGGTGCTTGATGCCAAGCCTGATGGTTTGAGTTCTATCCCTGGGGCCCACATGGTAGAAGAGAACTGACCTCCATAAATTGTCATCTGACCTTCACATGTGCACACGACACACATGCATGTGCCCACGAACATACATGCAATAAGTAAATGTAATCAGCGAGGGATTTTCTAGTAAGGAAGAGAAAAGGGGGTGTAAGTGGCAGCTGGAGACAAAGCTGAGTATCATTTGAAACAGAAAAAGAAACAACACTGTGTACTTACGACATAGCACTTCATATTTCGTTTATGCATTCACGTTGCTAGCAGGCAAAGAAATGTTTCCTAATCAGTTACGTAATTTAGATTGGTCACTATATAATGTTCCACATTGCTTCATTTTCTGGATGGGACGCCCAGGAAGGGGAAAGGTCACAGAAGGGTGGCTGGTCCCGGACCCTAGATCTTTCTCTAGGGAAGTAGGTTGCTGTGGTCTCTCTTAGGCTCCAAAAGTACTTGCTAAAGAAAACGTCCACCTTTCACCCGACATTCATTAGCTGCTTATTTGGAGCCAGCCCCTGTGCCAGGGCTTTTGTGTGGATGGGCTCCTTCCATGCTCACAACATTCTCAGATGCAGCTCTGTATGTTACAGCTGGAACTTTAAGGACTTGTTTTATGGTTGAGACATTGCTACTCCACCCACCCGGAGAAGCACGCTTTCTCTCCCTGCTGTATTTCTGTCTTTGTGTTTGTTTCTGACGCATCATGAGACCTAACCTCCCTTGAAGATCAGGCCTTGATGGGGAAGAAGATTTCATTTTTATTTAAACAAGTCCTGTTTACCATAGTTGCAGATAATAACTAAAAAGAAGGGTATTACAGAACCCGAAAGCGAAACCCAGCCACAGTCCCTGGTTCTCTTGCACCCTCGTAGGCCTGTGGCTCCATAATCCTGTCACAGAATGGTTGAGAGCACTGGGGCTTGGAGATAGCCAGGGTTGACTTGAAGGCCCCGTTCTTGGACTTACTAACTGTAGGACCGTGAGTGATTTCCACAGCTCATTAAGCTCTGTTCTCTTTCTTTGTAAAAATGGGAAGATCTTACTGTACCCGCCCCTCAGGCGCTCGTGAATGGTAAATGAAACAACTCCTATAACAGGTTAACTAAGCAGGGTCTGGCACATGGGAAATGTCCAAGAATGGAGGCTAGTGTGGCTGCTGTCAAATGTGGACCGCAGTTTGAATGATCTCTAAAGAGGACGCAGGACTTTAAGTTTCGCATCCAAACTCCGCGACCCAGGAGTGTGTCGGGAACCTCTCTGAGCCCGTTTCCTCCTCTGCGACACCTGCTCCTGATATTACCCCACAGAGGCTGGGAAGATCAAACAGCCCTCGGCCCAAACAGGAAAGCAAGCAAATGTTTGACTTGTTTGTCTCAGTTTGTGGGCACATCTACCCCCAAATCGGTCTTTGAGAAACAGGAAACTCTATAGCAGCTCTGAGGGTGTAGAGGGATGGGAGTGGGTCATCAACCAAGAGGCTGAGGAATCAGAATCTGCCAGGCTTCTTCAACAAACTCTCACGTGATTGTGGCTGCGTGCACCTGACATAGAACCATAGTAGGTGTCTTGGTCACTGTTCTATTGCTATGAAGCAATACCGTGACCATGGCAACTCTTTTTTTTCAAGACAGGGTTTCTCTGTGTAACAGCCTTGACTGTCTTGGAACTCAATTCACAGACCAGGCTGGTCTAGAACTCACAGAGATCCACCTGCCTCTGCCTCCCGAGTGCTGGAATTAAAGGTGTGCACCACCACCACCTGGCTACGGCAACTATTATAAAAGAAAGCATCTAATTGGGGGGTGGCTTATAGTTTCAGAGGCTTTGACCATTGTCCTCATGGCAGCAGAGATCTGGCACAGGCTTTTGACACATCAAAGCCCACCCCCAGTGACACACCTCCTTCAACAAGGCCACACTCACTCAAGGCCGAGCCTCTTAATCCTTTAAAGAGTTCTACTCCCTGGCAACTATGTAAGCATTCAAATATATGACCCTATGGGGGTCATTTTTATTCAAACCACCACAGTAGGTGAACAGACACACGTGTGAAACGAATTATCTCTACACTGCTTCTAACAGTATCTGCATAATTCAGTTGTTCGATAAGTCAAAGCTGTATTATTTCTTTTCTTTTCTTTTTTTTTCTTTTTTTTTTTTTTTT